ATATTTAAGTACCAAAAAGAGTCAGCTATATCAGAATAATTATACTAGAGTTGAGTCGTTTAACTTCTCATCTGTTATGGCTTAGTCCTTTTATGGCGGACATTAACTCCGTTTTTCTATATTTTCAGAGAAAGTTCGTAAAATTTAAATCCTATTGTTCTTTTTTGGCCTTTTTCTAATATTTTTCTGCCTTTTTCTACTGTAGTACTACTCCAGACAATAATCCTAGTGGCCCAAAATTATATCCTAACTTTAAATCCCAATTAAGGTGATATAATTGGTTTTTTATGTTTATGCTCGCTAGAAACCTCATTGATCACTCATTGGTGCCTGTAGTATTTGTGGTGTTCTAGATCACTCATTTGAGCAATACATGCGAACCAAAATGTGGGTAGCAGCTCAGGTTCATGCTTTCTTAATTTTTGCACGACTAGCAGCTGGTGCAAGGGACCTCCTTGTGTTAACTACGTGCCAGTCTGGGTCCATTTACTGCACGTTAACTTGGGAATGACCTAACGAGGACCTGAGATACTCAAGAACCCGTACCACACTTTTTCTTTTTCTCTCTTTTTCCTTTTTGTTTTAGGATTGGTTTGGTATTGCTGTGTTTTGAAAAAAAATTATTGTGAAAATAAGCGGGTGTGCTGTAAGAATAAGCGGCTGTGAAATAAATCAGCAGGGTGTTTGGTAAACTTTTTTGTAAAAATACTTTTGGAAAAAAAAGCAGTCTAATAGTGGGTCTTTTCATTAAAGAAGCATTGTAGCTCCGTGTGTTTTAAAAAAAAGCCAATTTTCCAAAACTGCAAATAGCAGCTTCAGCTTTTTCCTTTGATTTCAGCTTATTCTCACAGCAGCTTCCAAAATAAGCTTTTTTTTTTCAGTTTACCAAACACCTAAAACCCTCACAGTTTTTTTTCATGGGTGTTTTTTTTTTAAGCACCTCACTCCCAAACTAGGTCTTAGTCATATCTTTTTCTTTCCGTGCGGACCTCATCGAAATCAAACAAAAAAAGGAAAAATTAAACTCATCATTAACTTCCGGATGAAACTTTAAACCAAGTGGTGTGAGATTTTTCCATGATTCAGGTGGGGGGAGGTGGGCTGGGGTCAGTTCTCATTATTTACTCACCCCTACACATCTGTGCATCCACCCCAATTTAGATGTTTTGGGACCTTGGACTAACAATATTTTTTAAGAGGTGTGATATCCACACACCTCATTTTACTTCTCACGCATCCTTGATAATTTCTGTCCGTTGATCTTCTTCAATTCATCCGATCTGACGGCCGAAAATTATAAAGGTGTGTGAGAAGTAAAATGGGGTGTGTGAATATCATACCTCTTTTTCAAATACTAGAGATGAGATTGGAGAGAGATGTGAGGAGGGAGGAGGAGCGAGAGAGAATAGTACGGTTACATTTTAGAATTTTTATGACATAAAATATTAATAATGATAAAAGTTAACTAGAGTTATGTGAGAGGACATATATCAAGCTAAAAGTGTGTGGATAGCATACATCAGGATAAGTTCAATGCATTTTTACTCACTGCTCTCAAGTGATGGTGATGCTCACAATATTTTTATTACAGTTCGATAAGTTTAATTTTTAAAATTTATGTCTTCCACAGCAAAACAGATTACAAATAATAAACATACGAACAAACGGATTACAAATTATTGAATATATTTGACTAACAAAACAACAAAGAAACAGGATTGTCGAGACGACTACACTCAACTACATAGCAACTTATTATCCATCTAAACAAACTACATTTGTGGGGAGCAAAATCTAAGAAATCCTAATTCAAATGGGATAGACCTAAATCATAAACTAATAAGCAAAACCAAATAATGAAATAACTAATTTTTCAACACTCGTCAAATTCAAGAGGGTACGTGACATGAGTTTACCAACAAATAAATTTTAATTTAGACATAATGATGTTGAGAGTATAAAAAGAAAGTAAATAAGTACTCACCACAAATAAGATTTTCATATTTCAATTCCAACAATGAACAAACAAAAACAACACTTTCACTCGAATATTCACAGATCCCAAACAAGCCAATAACTCGCATCGGCCTCAAGGACTTCATAAAACAAACCGCCCATTTCATTTTTCCCTTTGCCCGTGTGGGCCAAAACCTCAACCAATTTCCAATTATTTCTTTTCCGTGTGGACCTCAAACATACCACCACTTTTTCTTCTTTTTCTTTTTCTATCTTTTTTCCTTTTCTTTTTCCCCATCTTTTACTCACCCTCGTTTACCAAAAAGAAAAAGCAAAGAGAAAACAAAAGATTCGTCCTTCTTCTTCAGCTGCTCTGGTAGCATCTCCCACCTCCTCTTCTTCATCAACTATTAAGACCGACTCCCATTCAGATCCTTGAAAATTTGGGCATGGAACTATAGTTATCTACTTAAGGTTGCGAGTGAGCAAAATTTGATTTGTGAAATCGTCCATTTCAAAGTGTCTTTTTGAAGAAACTAGTTGGGACTTTCATCCAACAGCTTGCCGGCAGAAAGAAAATTCGCAGCTTTCGGTATCTTACAATACACAACTCTGGTGTGTGCGAGGTACCTTCAAGCTCCCCTCTTGTGAAAACATACATCTGCTTTAGCTTTCAATTGAAATCTTCATGGCCGATGAGTCAAATGCATTGACTTTGGATCCTCTTGCTTTCTTATCTTTATTTTTCTTTTTAATATTTTCCTATTAAAACTAAGATCTAAAGTCTTTAAATTCATGGAAATTATTTTGTAAGACTTCAATATTTTTTTTTTTTTTTCAGAAACGTGAACTAAATCCATTTCATGAAGAAAGATCTAGTCCTTTTCGTTTTTTTCTTCTTAAAATAAATATGAGTCATTATTATTAATAATTAATTTTTTTTAAATTGGTAGAATATATTTTTGCATAAAGTTTTAATAAGAATTTCTTTTAGGATTACACATAATGTGTCGTTAGCTTTTTACATACCAAATTTATGATAATATTTATGTACGGATAGTTTTCTATGTATTTAAATAATAATTACATAACATACCAAAACAAATTTGTACACAAATTTGAATTACATAGCATGCCAATAACGTACCAAATTATTGACACGTTACATTTAGTAAATAAAAGCATTGATATATATATATATATATATATATGTAATATCGTTTAGAATTTTAAAGTACGTTGGTACTTTTAAAATATCACGTTTGATTTTTTTTTGTTTTTTGCAACCACAGTTTAACTTTATTTTATTTTATAAACAATTCAACTTTTATTGTTTTTATAGAACTTTTATTGTTTTTTATTCTTTTAAAATATATTGAAATAAAAAGATATAAATTAACAATATATTGAAAAAAAATTAGATATTTGGTCTAAGAAATTAAAAAACCGCGCATCTAGATCAAAAAGATATAAATTAACATTATTTGTTTGTTTTTTATTCTTACTAGACAACAATTTATCTTTTTTTTTGGCCTTCTGAGTGCTACTCGAGACTCCAACTTATTAGATTTTCCATCAATTTTTGAGATCCCAAATGGCGAGCCAATGTTTCAACGCGTATTCTATTCACATTTTACAACTAATAAGAATTTGCCTTGTGACTTGGTAACCAATAACTGGTGTCTCTTGTACTATTATTATGTTTATCATATGATTCATATGATGCATCTCAGTGTAAAATCCGATATGTTTGGTAGCTGGAGAATATATTCTCAATTTGCATTCCAATTTGTATATAATAACTCTTCTTCATGCATTCACTGCTACAGATAGACTCTATTCAATAGATGCAATGAGCACCGAGCAGCAGAATCCTTCTTCGTCTTCTAACCGGTGCACATATGATGCATTCTTGAGTTTCAGAGGCGCAGATACACGCAAGGGCTTTACAGATCACCTCTACAATGCTTTGAAGTTAGCAGGAATCCACACTTTTAGGGATGATGATGAAATTGAGAGAGGAGAAAACATTGCACAGGAGCTACAGACAGCAATACAAGAGTCACAAGTATCAATCATTGTTTTCTCCAAGGACTACGCCTCTTCCACGTGGTGCCTGAATGAACTTGCTATCATCATGGAACGTAAAAGAACAGATGGACACATGGTTATCCCAGTTTTCTATTATGTGGAACCATCAGATGTCAGGAAGCAGACGGGCAGTTTTGCAGAATCATTTACTAGACATCAAGAACAATTCAAGGACGAGATAGACAAGGTGGAGGAGTGGAGGCGAGCTCTTAGAGATGTTGCAGACTTGGGAGGGATGGTTTTAAAAGACCGGTAATTTTTCATTCTCTCCTATATTCAGTCAAGTAGATCAGATGCTAGTCTCAAGCTTGTGAAAATTTTAGTTTTTTTTTTTTTGAAAAAATAAATAAATAACTTGCTTGTGTCTTTTCTTTTGGTCTGAAAATAAAGAAATTACTGTGCCTCATATATTTTGATATCAATAACATATAGGTATGAGTGGCAGTTTATCCAAGAAATTGTTGAAGTGATTGGAAATGAACTGGACTACATGACGAATAGGAGATTAAGAGTTGATCCCCATGTGATTGGACGAGGTTACTATGTGGAAAGCCTAAACATGTGGCTGGAAGATGGATCAAATGATGTTGGAGTAGCTGTCATCCATGGAATGGGTGGAATAGGCAAGACCACCATTGCTAAAATTGCTTATAACCAGAACTTCAATAAATTTCAAGCTAGCAGCTTTCTTTCAGATATTAGGGAAACTTCCAAACAAGCCAATGGTTTTGTTCACTTGCAAATGAAGCTTCTTTCAGATATCCAAAGGGGGAAAATGGAAAAAATATACAGCCTTGATGAAGGTATAGTAAAGATCAAACGGGTTGTACGTTGCAAAAGAGTTCTTATTGTTCTTGATGATGTGGAGAACTTGGAACAGTTCACTGCAATTCTTGGAATGCGAGACTGGTTCCATCCTGGAAGTAAAATTATCATAACAACTAGACATGAGTTAAAGGCTCATGAAGTTTGTGTAAGGTTTAAGGTTGAAGGATTACATGCGCATCAATCTCTTACACTTTTCAGTTGGCATGCCTTCGGACAATCCCATCCTCAGGAAGGTTACATGGAGCATTCAAGACACCTAGTAAAATGTTGTGGAGGGGTTCCATTAGCTCTTCAAGTTCTGGGATCTTCTCTATTTGGAAAAACAGCAAATGTATGGGAAAATGTAGTACGCAAGTTAAAGGAAAATGCAGTACCCACCTTAGACGTGATTACTGAGGGAAAAATTCAAAAGATTCTTTGCATAAGTTTTGATTCTTTACAAGATCATGATAAATGTTTATTCCTCCATATAGCCTGTTTCTTCATAGGAAAAGACAAGGATTTTGCAACTACAATCCTTGATGAATGTGATTTTGCGACAGAAGTTGGACTTCAACACCTAGTTGATAGATGCCTTGTGGAAATTAATGCCCGCAACAAGTTAACCATGCATCAATTGCTTGAAAACATGGGAAGGGCAATAATTCACAATGAATCACCTGAGGACCCTGGAAAACGCACTAGACTGTGGCATAAAAAAGAAGCAAGTGACGTTTTGAGAAATTTAACGGTAAGAAACATGATCTTTAACTGTATTTATTTGCATTGGTGTTCTACATGTGACTAGTAACTTATCCAATGCTCTTATTTGGTGGCAGGGTAAGAGAAGTATTAAGGGCCTCATGCTCCACTGTCCCTCAACATTTGAAACAAAGGCATTTACAAAGATGCTCAATCTTGAACTACTTCTGCTTGATAATGTAAAGTTGAGTGGAAGCTATGAAGATTTTCCAAAAAAATTGATATGGCTGTCTTGGCGAGGATTCTCTTTAAAATCAATACCAGCCAATTTTTGTATGGAAAATCTAGTTGTTCTCGACTTACGGAAGAGCAGTCTGCAACATGTTTGGAACGGAACCAAGGTATCTTCTAATCTCTCTCGCTCTCTCTCTCTCTCAATACACACAACAAAAATAAATTTCAGTGAAAGTAAACTGTGTATTCATAGCAACTAATGACTTCTACTTGATACAGAATCTTACAAGATTGAAAATTCTTAATCTCAGTCATTCACATGGCCTTAGGACAACATCTGACTTGTCCGGACTCCCTAACCTTGAGAAACTAATTCTCAAGGATTGCATTAATTTGGTTGATGTTGATGAATCCATTGGAAACTTGGGGAAACTTGTTTTCTTGAATCTAAAAGACTGCAAAAGTCTTATGAAGCTTCCAAAAAGAATGAAAATGTTGAGGTCTCTTGAGGAACTTATTCTTACTGGTTGCTCAAAGCTTGGTCCTCATGACAGTGCCACGGTTATTGATTTACTCGCTACATCTAGGGATATGAATAAACTTAGACTGTTATCAACTATATCATGGACACCTATCAGGTATTGGTGGATGTGGGCATGGCCGAGAAAGACTCTTCAATCAACCAGTTTCTCACTGGCAAGTTTGCCACGTTGTTTGGGAAGCTTAAGTCTGTCTTACTGCAACGTGTCAGAGGTTCCCAATGATCTGTGTACACTATCTTTGTTGAAGCATTTGAATCTAACTGGTAACCCAATTTTGCCTACCACAAAAAATGAAGAGTCTTATTATGCTCGAGACTCTTTTGTTAGATAATTGCACAAACCTCGAAATTCTTCCAGAGCTCCCACCAAGGTTGAAGAGGTTAGAAGCAAAGTATTGTACTTCATTGAAAAGATTAACAAATTTACCAAACTTGTTCAGATCATTGGAATCACTTTTTTGGGGTTGTGAGCATTTAGTTGAAGTTGAAAGCTTGTTGAATATAAAACCGGTGAGAAGCGCTGACATAGAAATGACAAGATATATGGGCCTGTTCAATTTGAAATCCATAGCAAGCACTGATGTCGAAATGATGAACTACTTGACCGGTACAAGCAGGAAGGCTCCTGTCCAGGTCTTTCTCTGTCTCCTCTCTCATGTATAGTTGTTCTAATTATTATATCTATGAACTAATTTGGCCCAACTGTTTGAATAGTTAAATTTGAATTGTAGATTCTTGATGAAACAGGTACTCTATGAATGTGGCATATATAGCATTTTCTTTCATGGAAGCAAGATTCCAGATGGATTTGGCTTCACAATAATATATAGATCTGTGCTGTCAGTTATTGTACCTTCACATCCCTTTCTAAAAATCCGAGGCTTGAATTCATGTGTGTTATATGCAAGAGAACCAGGCTTGGAATATCGTCTTACTGTTCAGCATTTGATTAAAGTCAGTAATCAGACCAAGGGTCTTATGTGGACCTATTCCCCACTCACAGTAGGTTTGCCTACTGAGAAGGAAGATATGTTATGGCTAAGCCATTTTCGATTTGCAAACAACGAATTGGAGTATGGGGACGAATTACGTGTTTCGGTTGAGATGCATGAATTTGTCCGTGTAAAGGAATTCGGAATTCAGCTTGTGTACGAGCCGGAAAGACCTCCTTCTAGCCAGAATAATGTTGTTGCTGGAGATGTGTCACTGTCAGCATCAGAGTACCAAATGTGGACAGGAAAATACTTTCTCAGTAATCATGGGCACTGTACTCATCAAGCTCAATTCCGAAGGAGACAGGAGAATCCAGCACATATTGAGTTTTCATTTGGGCCAGAGCTTCTATTTCATAAATTATTCAAGGCCCGAGGACCATTCGAAACTGTTGTGAAACTTAGAGCATATCCAGCAGATTCCCCATCTGCTTCTCCTTACCCATTTTGGCTAAAATAAAGAGAAACCTCCTCAGTTCTTTATCCAGCATCATTCATTTATGGTTGGAAAGAAACATCAGCATCAGTTTTCTTGGTGAGTATCGTCCCTTTATTCTTTCTTGTTATCTCTTTCTGAATATATACTCATGGCTTTGTTGGATTTGTTGCTCTTTGCTTATTGTCTTTGATTTGTTAATTGAATGAATATATTAAACAAAAAGCGGGGAAAGCTCTATGAACTCAGAACAACAAGGTCATAAGACCAATCAAGGAAACAAAACCGGAACAGTCCTCATGAGTTAGCAGATGAGGTTTGAAAACCCCTATAGAGCAAAACCAACTTCAGCGTAACAGCAGTGGGACAACATGTATTTCTGAAAATCCTGCAATTAGTTTCCCTCCAAAGCCTACTCCTTACAAACGAATCTTGAATTCCTGCGACGTGGTATTTGGGGTAACTTCTATTTGGACACATTTATATGAGCAAACTTTTCTTATTCTATTATTATGCATTCGGATTAGAAAGCGCGCGATCAATAAGATATTGAAAACATGTATTTCCTGATACATTATATAAAATTAATAATTCGCTAAATTCATAAGATAATACATTATATAAAATTCATATAGATTCCACATAATATGTAAATTAATAATTTCCTGATACATGTGCTTATGATTCGACAATGAGGCCTTCCTAAAATATGACTCAATCATTGTTTGTTTTTTCTTTTCTTGAAATTGATACCTTGGATCTTATATTTTTCTTAACATGATAAGAAGTTATAATGTGGTTTTTTCATACTTCAACAAAAAATTATTCAATGTCATCGCCGCTTTGAGAACTTCTTTTCGGGAAACGGGCTCCATAGTAGAACCATGTACAATCTATTTTTAGAAAATAAGTAGATTCAAAATTTTACTTGGTTAAACAATAAAATCGTTAGTTCGTAAAATGAGAAACTAAATTAATAACATATTAATTTATCAATTATTTAATATTTTGCTAAAAAATTTGGTCTCAAGGTTATTAATTTATAGAGGTCTAATGGATTTAGATAGAGGACACTAGGTAGGTTTCCCTTTAAAGAGTCTGATATGGTTGCCTTAAGTCTCACTTGCATTTACTACGGTATCCCCAATCAATCATGCACTACCATGCTTGGATAAACTATAGTAATGTCCTTGCATGGCATGCATGATTGACTCGAGATACCGTCATAATGTCATCTTTGTTGTAGGTAAGTTTTTCTCCCCGAAATATATGTTCACCAAGGAATTTACATGTGAAATGAAACTCTAAGAAAAGAAATTTAAAAATGAGAAAGTGATCCACCTAATCATGTGTGTCGGTATGTAATTGGGCCACGCAAGGATCAATGAACAAAAAATTTAAATGTCACAATACAAGCTATAGTAATTTGTTAACTGCATTTGATTTCATATTGTTTTAAGTTACGAGCAGTGAAGACAGGGAATAAAAATGGAATGATAATCTTTGTTAGATCATATTCTAAAACAAATTTCCAACACTCTGAATCTTGCAGCTTTTGAGCTGCTCTGTGTTTGAGCAATTAGTAGAGACAAAATTGGAAGAGATCATCCTGTAATATCTAGTTAAACAAATCAAGGGAAAACAATTTTACGCCGCCCTTACCTAGTTTACAAAATTTGTCAACCTCTTCTCTTACAAAATTTGTATAAGCCTAACCTGCGCGCGCTATAAAGTCCTAATTCTAATCTTGGGACAATGTAAAAGGAGTGCAGCGGGAAGAAATATCCATGACATCACAGACCACTCGGGCACATGACTTTTTTGGAACTACAAGACAATAAGATGTAAAACATTTCAGAGCTATGTGGCAGGTATTGCACAGAGGGGAAACAAAAGCACAAGGCTCTCTAAGCAAACAATAACAGAGAAGAATCGTCGTATACACAATTGTTTTCTACCAATAGCGAATGACATAGCAGACAACTAGAAGAGAGTAATGATTCTCAAGATATAGCTTATTTACTTATCCCTTAAGATTATTCACAAGAGCATTCGATTTTTGTTAGAAACGCTATATGGAGATTACAATAATCATGACATTATTGTGCGCCATTGTGCTGATCGTTATGTTCCTGACAGGAACTAATTACCTCTCTTTGAAACGGTGTCTTCCAAGACAGAAAATCCTTAATCTCAGTCACTCACATGGCGTGATGACAACCCCTAACTTGTCACAAGTCCCTAACCTTGAACAATTGATTCTCAAATATTGCTTAAATTAGGTCGAGGTGGATGACTCCATTGGATACCTAGAGAAACTTGTTTTCCTGAATCTAAGACTGCAAAATGTGAGTGCTGGAGATGTGTCAGCATCAAAGTATCAAATATGGAAAGGCAAATGCTTTGTGTGTAATCACAGTCTAGACCATACTTATCATCCTCAGTTCATATTTCAGAAAGAACCAGAAGAACCTGGCTCATCTTGATTCTTCATACGATCCAGAGGGCTGTTATTTTAATAATCATTACTTACTTAAGCACATAGAGTTTCCTCAGGAGGACGATGAATACTGTTGTGTTTTGCCACCCGAAAGGGTAAGATTTTACAAGAGAATAAAAGATAAAGAAGGCGATGATTATCGACTGCGTCTATTCAAAAGAAGTGTAGATTTGGGCACTATCCAGTTGCGGTGCTAATCATCGGGCGTTGAAGAAAAGATCATGGTTTGTTTTCTTTTGTGAGTCTTATTTTCTGTTTCTCTTTGTATAGAATATACTATATATGCATTTTGTTTGAATAATTGAATCTTCTTAACTCGATCTTTTCAATATTTTGTACAAAGGATGCAAGGGTTCAAAAACACTAGATGTAGATTTCATATCTGAGCTCCATATTGGTTCTTATCTGAGCTCCTTCAGCGGATTAACAATGTGGTCAGCGAATAAAGGAGTTTAATCCAACTTAACAGTTAACAATCAGACGGGCAGATCTTCCCGTTGTTTATTTTTCCGTTTCTTCTTAATTTTTTGTTTTTGCTCCAATCTTTCTTTATTTTTTTCTTCTTATGTTTTTGCTCTTTCTTTATCACATAACCGTAGCTACTTTCTGGTTAAATTCTATTTTTCTTATTTCTTAAAAATAAATTAAAAGCTACTTATTATTAGGGTTTAGTAATATTCATCTTTACTTATGTTGATGCACAAAACCGGAAGGTCTTGGAACAACGTAAATCCGACCGTGAATCATGCAAACGCCCAAGAACACAAAGATGTATCGTGGTTCACCCCAATGTTTGGGCTACGTCCACACTGATGTTGATTGTATTCCTCTGTAATTGTATGTATGGATTACAAAGTGTTGTTGTGTTTGTGAGGGTATTGCCCTCTGTTGGGTTCACAGAGGAAGAGAGTTGAGAGAGTTTCTATGTATGTAGGAGGGTTGCTCTGAATATGAGAGTCTCTGTTTGGGGATGTGAGGCCTCAGGATTGTGAGGGTGAGGAGGCCCTTTTATAGACTAAGGGCTCCTCCCCTTTTACATAAATCATAGGCTCAATGTCTGGAAGCCCAAGTAACGAGGCCCAATATAATATGGTACCAACAGTAGTCCCCTAAGTCTTCAGTCAAGAGAGTCTTTTGGCTGGAGACTTCAAATCCAATTCATGTACGGGCCGAAGTGGCTAGATGTCTTGAACCAGTACTCAACCCAAGGCAATGCTCAACATAAAGCAATACTCGGCTAGAGGTATCACACGTTACGAGACTACTCGGTTGGAGGCGATGCTCGTTGCGAGGCTGCTCGGCTAGAGGCTATGCTCGCGGCAAGGCGTTTGCTCGGCTGGAGGCGATGCTCGTTGCGAGGCGGCTCGGCTAAAGGCTATGCTCGCTACGAAGTGGCTCGGCTCGTGGTATTCCTCATTGCAAGTATCTACTTTATGTCGACATGCACTCAGTATGAGTTGATTCTCAACATGACTCGAGTCCGCTTGTCGGGTTCGCATATTGGGTCTATATGTAGGATCCGCAGATCGGGTCCGCAAGTCGGGTCTTTGAGTTGGGGCCATACGTAGGGTCATCGAGTTGGGGCTATCTGTAGGGTAATCGAGTTAGGTCCAGGCACATAGGTGTCCCAATAAGCAAATGTCAGAGCAAGTGGGTGTCCGGTCAGACAAGAGATCACCATGAGCACGTGGCTCATCAATCTATAAGTTGGTAGACTTCTTTAATCAGCAACAATGTTGATCAGTGGATCTAGTTGCTTAATAATTTCTGACAATAAATGACAGTATAAGTATGACCGTATAATAAGTAAATCAAATTGACAAAGTTTGTCAAGGCAAAATATTGCATTATGTGCCTTCTGTGAATAAATGATTTATTCAGTTTGTGTGATAAATCATATGTTGTATAAATCAACAATATATTAAGCATATAATATATATATACCAACGGTAATTTTTTAAAGTGGCAGGTAACATAGGGATATTAAAGGAGAGCATCTTATCTTTTTAAGGGGTTGGTGGCTTTCTTTCAGGCAGATGGCAGACAGTAATTATAGGATTAATAATAGAATGATGGCAGATGGCAGACGGAATAAAAACTTATCTTTAGACAATGGAGTGGGCATCTTCTTTGGTGGTCGACAAAAGTCATCGGTCATGATAAAGTTCTTATCTTCTCTGTTCGTCCATCATTGCTCTAGCAGTGGAACTGTGGCCAACATCTTTGAAATCATTACTTGTGTCCTTTCCAAACCTCTCTCATTCTCGTCGCTTCTTTTCGCCAGCGCTCTGTAAAGAAACAAGGCTCCCAGCACGGCGGTGAAGATCCATCCGAGCAAGTGCTGATCCGCCATTACAGGTGAAGGCTGCTTCCATTTCATGGAGGTTTGGTTTGCTTCCATGGCCGCTTCAGACTCTTCTTTTTCTGCGGTGTTCTATGGATAACATCAAAGTTGAATGAATGGATACATGTGGGCTTTTGATTACTTGATGAGTTTTTTTTTTTCTGATAGAATAAAAAAAAAACAAGCAGCCAACTTCCACCAATCCCCTCGCTTAGCAACAGGTGCATATGTTAGTGGCAGAGTCGGAAAGAGTGACAATTCTGGTGGCGGACTCGAATCGGCGCTCCCGACGAATATCATCCTCGATTTCTTGCTGGGCCCTCCGACGCTGGTTGAATTTCTCGGCGTTGGCGTTGTTCCACAACGCGAATCGAACCTCCGTTGGCGGGTGGTTCTGAGCCGCGTTGTGGGTGGGGCTCAAGTTCAATGGTGGCGTAAAAATTAGACAAGAAATGGGCAAATTCAGCGCCATTTCTTGCTGGGTTCCTCAAATTGAAGCCGAAAGCTTCAAACTTTTAGCAGATATGAGTCCTTTTGCTGGGTTCTGAATGCATATCAGTTAAACGACGTCGCAGCAGCTGACAGTATAGGCCTTTCAAAGTGAGAGTTTTGCAGGGAAGAATTGAGAGAGAGAAAGAGGTGGCTCCGTGGGTTTTCTGGGAAAGCTTTGGGTTCTTGGGTTTCTGCAGATTCACGGTGGAGGTTGTCAAGTTTTCACAGTGGTGAGATGGAAAAATGAAAGAGAACTGACATAGCTTTTCGTGTCGTTTCCCACAGACGGAGCCAAATGTTGATGCACAAAACCGGAAGGTCTTGGAACAACGTAAATCCGATCGTGAATCATGCAAACGCCCAAGAACACAAAGATGTATCATGGTTCACCCTAATGTTTGGGATACGTTCACACTGATCTTGATTGTATTCCTTTGTAACTGTATGTATGGATTACAAAGTGTTGTTGTGTTTGTGAGGGTATTGCCCTCTGTTGGGTTCACAGAGGAAGAAAGTTGAGAGAGTTTATGTGTTTGTAGAAGGGTTGCTCTGAATATGAGACTCTCTGTTTGGGGACGTGAGGCCTCAAGATTGTGAGGGTGAGGATACCCTTTTATAGACTAAGGGCTCATCCCCTTTTACATAAATCACGGGCTCAATGTCTGGAAGCCCAAGTAACGAGGCTCATATAATATGGTACCAACAACTTATAAGTGAAAGATGTCTTATATTCGATTCTCATCACTTAGCCCTCTCGCTTCTTAATGTAGATAATATCGTATATTCAAAACAAACAAAAAAGTAAATTAAAACACTAAAATTAAATAATAAAAAAATAAATAGAAACCCAACCCTCGTCAACTTCCTCACCCCGGTGTGAGATTTGTCCAAATGTTAGATAATTTGGGTTGGGTGAGTTGGGTTGGGGTCGCTTCTCATCTATTCATTCACCCTTCACATCTATGCATCCACCCCAATTTAGATGATTTGGGATCTTGGATTAGCAATATTTTTCAAATAACAGAGAGAGAGAGAGAGAGAGAGAGAGAGAGAGAGAGAGAGAGAGAGAGAGAGAGAGAGAGAGAGAGAGAGAGAGAGAGCGAGAGAGAATGGGATGGTTAGATTTTAGAATTGCTATGACATAAACATTAATAATGATAAAAATTAATTAGAGTTATGTGAGAGGACATATGTCAAGCTGAATTTATGTTGGTAGAATACACTAGGGGTTAAGTTTGGGCAATTTTGCTCACCACCATTTTATTTATCATTGTTAAATAAGTTTAAATTTTGAAATTTGTATCTATCCATAATAGAATATCAGGTACACATAACAAACATACGAACAAACATATTATAAATTACGAATATTATTTGATTAACGAAAAAACAAAGAAATAGGATTGCCAAGATGGCTACACTTAAAGACTACATTTTAATCAACTTATTATCATACTAAATTATAAGTTATATGTATAGAGAACAAAACCTAAGAAACCCTAATTTGAATGAGCTAAGCCCAAATCTTAAATTAACAAGCAAACCCAAATAATTAAGTAACTAATTTTCCAACACCCCCGTCAAACTCATGGTGGTACACGACATGAGTTTACCAACAAGAAAATGTCAATGTAGGCTTCACTAGGTGGACAAGCAGGCAAACAAGCTTTGCTAGGCTGGACTTGACTTGACTTGTGAATGGGCAAACTGATTATGTTTCAGAAATGCATGAGGGTATGGAAAGAAAGCATATGAGTGCTCCTCATCACTAAACAAACGAGATTTTCATATCCCAATTGCAGCAATGGACGGACAAAAAGAATACTATCACTCAAGTGATCACAAGTCCAAACAGTCGCAAAATTCCCATACAGGCCAACAACTCGTGTGGGCCTCAAAGACTTCAAACAAAATCAAACAGCCCATCTCTTTTTGCCCTTTCCCCGTGTGGGCCGAAATCTCAACTAAATTCGTGGGCCTCAAACATACCGCCACTTTTTCTCCTTTTTCTTTTCCTTTTTCCCTCTTTTTCTTTTTCTTTTTTACAGATCTCTATAATTGTTGCCCCAACACGACAATTTTGTTAATTCTTATTAATGAAGAGGATTTTTCAATCTTTCTTTGTTTCGTGCAGATTGAATTTGCCTGTGTCTGAACCGAATCATTTCTTTTTTAAACAACTGGTGTCGGGGGAGGGGGCCTCTGCAGGCTTTTATCAACTTTGAGTTACAAGTCCATTGAAAATTAATAATTGATTTGTCTCTTTAAGGAAGAACGGCCATAGAAAATTAATAACTGAATTATCTTTTAATTTAATTATTATAATAACTGATTTGTCTTTTTTTATTTTTTTTAAATGATATTGCAAGAGTAGAATTTGAGCTAAGTCACACGTCATAATTTCACACCGAACGAAAATCGAATCTAAAACCTTCTTTTTTTATAAGTGGAGAAATTTATGATTGAATCTTTAGATTTTGCATTATAGTCGCTCTATAGTGACTCTTTTGTGACTATAAAAAATGATTACTCAATTTTCGTGGAAAACGCGAATTATACACGTACGTACCTTGAGTACTTTTTGGCAAAGCCATATATAATTGTCACCCTCATTTACCCAAAAAATAAAGAAAAACAAAAGAAAAGAGAAAACAAAAGACTAGCCCTTCTTCTTGAGCTTCTCTGGTAGCATGATCATCTCCCACATCCTCTTCTTCATCAACTCTTAAGACCGACGCCCATTCAGATCCTTGGAAGTTTGAGCATGGTGGAGAGGAACTATAGTTATCAACTTGAGTTTGCGAGTTAGCGAAATTCGATTTGTGAAATCGTCCATTTCAAAGTGTCTTTTTGAAGAAACTAGTTGGGACTTTCATCCAACAGCTTATCGGCTGAAAGAAAACTCGCAGCTTTCGGCATCTTACAATACACAACTCTGGTGTGTGCGAGGTACCTTCAAGCTCCCCTCTTGTGAAAACATACATCTGCTTGTATTATTAGCTTTCAATTGAAATCTTCATGGCCGATGAATCAATGCATTGGCTTTGGCTCCTCTTGCTTTCTTATCTTTATTTTTCTTTTTAATATTGTCCTATGAAATTTGTTTTGAGTCCCTAACTCACACTTAAAGCACCGCCGTTACACTGAAAATTTTCTCTAAGCTAGTGGGTCATTCTATTTTTTTTATGAAAAAAAATCATAAACTTATCCAATAAACTCCACATATCATCCCTTATTGACATAGTTAGATTCAAGTGCTACATTTTATAATTACACATTAGTTGGTTTTTAGTTTTTTATTCAAGTTCTTTGAATTTTGATTAAACGCTTTAACTTTACATGTGTTTTTTTCTTAATTTTAACTCAATATGTTATATAAATTTAAAGAATATAAATATGAGTCTCTAAATTCATGGAAATTGTTTTGCAAGACTTTAATTATTTTTTTTTCAGAAACGTGAACTAAATCCATTCATGAAAAAAGATCCAGTCCTTTTCTTTTTTTTCTTCTCAAAATAAATATGAGTCATTATTTTAATAGTTAATTTATTAAAAATTGATAAAATATATTTTTGTATAAAGTTTTAATATGAATTTCTTTTAGGGTTGTCATTAGCTTTTTACGTACCAACGCCTTCAAACTTAAAGCCACAGCCCACTCCCAGTCCAAATCCATAAACCCAGCCACTTTAATTGTTTTCAGAAGAGTGGCAGTTTCGTAAATAAAGTGAAATGCAGCAAAAGTCACTGTAGCTTATGAATAATGCTAAGGAAATTTTATTTGAACACATCTAACCTCTTTCTATACCAAACTTACTCTCTTCACCCATATTGTTTTTTATTAAAGAATTAATATCTCTTTAAACCCAAATTTATTACCTAAACTACCCTTTCAAACCCAATTCAAAATGTAAATTATCTTTTCACCAATTTTCTTTATAAAATAACATCTCTAATTGAATGTTGTTTTTTCTTCAAAGAGGCATCCTTTGCCCCTATAATTGCATTTGCCGTATAGGACTAGCATTTCCATGGCTGTTTTTTTTTTCCTTCTGCTACCACAACACATTCATGGACTTGGGATCCAAGAGATCATTCCATAGACTTGAATTTGCCAAGAGAATGCTATGCAACCTTCAGTTCAGTCATTTTTAAATCGAGCATTTTCATGTACTTTTTAAGAAACTTTGAAGTGACATAGGGATGGGTGTTTTGCTGCTATGTTAATAAACAAATAAACAAATTGGAGCTATTTTGAATAAAAAAATGTGCAAGACATGCCACCGGCTAGTTCGTGGTTAAGGTTGAGCAATCTTTATTTGTACCAAGAACCAAGTTTTATGTTTTTGCAGTACTAATAAAAAATCCTTGCACTGGTGTTTTGGGGCGCATATAGACGACATAGAGAAACAAATACAATATAATATAAAAGGTATGAAATTTAATCCAAGGAAGAAGCAAACAAACAAAATATCCATAAATCGAGTCATACCTTAGTTGAAGGATTAAAAACTTCAAAATCACCATCCATCAATAGAAAAGCTTGTTTTTCTCTATCAGAACTATTAGGGTTTTAGTTGGAATGAACATAGGATAAACTAAGAGTGATGCTAGAGTTTAGTTATAGTATGTGGGTCTATTGATAAATTTGATTTTTATTATTAATTTCATTTTGTACTTAATAGTAATTATGCAATAGGGTAAAATAGACAATTAATATTTAAAATTTAAGTTGGATGTAGAAAGATGTTAGATGGGTTTAAATAAAATTTCCCTAGAGCCAATTCTTCCCCAATTTAGACTATACTAATATGAAAAATTCCATCTCCAATCAGACTTCATTCTTAATACAAGTTAGCATACTTACTAGAAACACCAATTTTTTATTTAGTATTATTATTTTTTTCTGGGTAATACTAGAGACATCAACTTATTAGTTTTTGCATCAATTTTTTTAAATCCCAAATTTCGTGGCAATGTTTCAACGCATTTTCTGTTCACATTTTACAACAAATAAGAATTTGCATTGTGACTTGTTAACAATTAACTGGTGTCTCTTGCACTATTATTATGTTTATCATTTCTTACATACTTCCAAAATTAGACATGTAATATGATTTGCATCTCAGTGTTAAATCAGATGTGTTTGGCAGCTGGAGAATATATTCTCAATTTGCATTCCAATTTGTATATAATTACTTTTGTTCATGCATGCACTGCAACAGATGGACACTATTCAATAGCTACGATGAGCACCGAGCAGCAGAATGCTTCTTCGTCCTCTTACCGGTGCACATATGATGCATTCTTAAGTTTCAGAGGTGCAGATACACGCAAGGGTTTTGCAGATCACCTCTACAGTGCTTTGGAGTTGGCAGGAATCCACACTTTTAGAGATGATGATGAAATTGAGGGAGGAGCAAACATCGAACAGGAGCTACAGACAGCAATACAAGAGTCACGAGTATCAGTCATTGTTTTTTCCACGGACTACGCCTCTTCCACGTGGTGCCTGAATGAACTTGCTATCATCATGGAACGTACAAAAACAGATGGACACAAGGTTGTGCCAGTTTTCTATGATGTGGAACCATCAGATGTTAGGAAACAGACGGGCAGTTTTGCAGACTCATTTACTATACATGAACAGCGCTTCAAGGACAAGATAGACAAGGTGGAGGAGTGGAGACGAGCTCTTAGAGAAGTAACAGACCTGGGAGGGATGGTTTTAGGAGAACGGTAATTTGTCATTCCCTCCCTATATTCAGTCAAGTAGATCAGATGCTAGTCTCAAGCTTGTGAAAGTTTTAGCTTTTCTTTTTTAAATAAAAAAATTAAATAAATAACTTGCTCGTGTTTTTTGTTTTCCTCTGATATATTTTTATATCAATAACATATAGGTACGAGTCGCACTTTATCCAAGATATTGTTGAAGCTTTTGGAAATAAACTGGACTACATGAACATGTGGAATAGGAGATTAAGAGTTGATCCCTATGTAATTGGAAGAGATTATTATGTGGAAAGCCTGAACACCTGGCTAGAAGATGGATCAAATGATGTTGGAGTAGCTGTCATCCATGGAATGGGTGGAATAGGCAAGACCACCATTGCTAAAATTGCTTATAACCAGAACTTCTCTAAATTTCAAGCTAGCAGCTTTCTATCAGATATTAGGGAAACTTCCAAACAAGCCAATGGTTTTGTTCACTTGCAGAGGAACCTTCTTTCCGATATCCAAAAGAGGAAAGTGAACAATATATACAGCCATGATGAAGGTATAGTAAAGATCAAACGGGCTGTACGTTGCAAAAGAGTTCTTATTGTTCTCGATGATGTTGAGAACTTGGAACAGTTCAATGTGATTCTTGGAATGCGAGACTGGCTCCATCCTGGAAGTAAAATTATCATAACAACTAGACATGAACATTTGTTAAGGGCTGAAGTTTGTGTAAGGTTTAAGGTTGAAGGATTACCTGAGCATCAATCACTTAAGCTTTTCAGTTGGCATGCCTTTGGACAAACCCATCCTCAAGAAGGTTACATGGAGCTTTCAAGACCTGTAGTAGAACATTGTGGAGGGGTTCCATTAGCTCTTCAAGTTCTGGGATCTTCTCTATTTGGAAAAACAGTAGATGTATGGAAAAATGCATTTCACAACCTAGACGTGATTACTGAGGGAAAAATTCAAAAGATTCTTGGCATAAGTTTTCATTCTTTACAAGATCATGATAAACGTTTATTCCTCCACATAGCCTGTTTCTTCGTAGGGAAGGACAAGGATTTTACAACTACAATCCTTGACGAATGTGATTTTGCCACAGAGGTTGGACTTCAACATCTGGTTGATAGATACCTTGTGGAAATTAATGTCCACAACAAGTTAATCGTGCATCAATTACTTCAAGACATGGGAAGGGCAATAATTCATGAAGAATCATCTGAGGACCCTGGAAAGCGCACTAGACTGTGGCATAAAGATGCATTTAACGTTTTGACAAAATTAACGGTAAGAAACATGAATTTTATGTGTACATATTTGCAATGGTGTTCTGCATGGTAACTTATCCAATGTTCTTATTTGTTAGCAGGGTACGAGAACTATCAAGGGCTTCATGCTCCACTTTCTCCCAACAGATTCATCTCCGGTAAATGAGGTAGGTTTCGAAACAAAGGCATTCACAGAGATGCTCAATCTTGAACTACTTCTGCTTGATAATGTAAAGTTGAGTGGAAGCTATGAAGATTTTCCAAAAAAATTAATATGGTTGTCTTGGAGAGGATTGTCTTTAAAATCAATACCGGCCAATTTTTGTTTGGAAAATCTAGTTGCTCTAGACTTACGGAAGAGCAGTCTGCAACGTGTTTGGAAAGGAACCAGGGTATGTTCTAATCTCTCTCGCTCTCTCTCTCTCTCTCTCTCTCTCTCTCTCTCTCTCTCTCTTTCACTCAATACACACAAATAAAAATAAATTTCAGTGAAATTAGACTCTGTATTCATAGCAACTAATGACTTCTCTTTGATACAGTTTCTTACAAGATTGAAAATTCTTAATCTCAGTCATTCACATGGCCTTTGGACAACATCTGACTTGTCCGGACTCCCTAACCTTGAGAAACTAATTCTTAAGGATTGCATTAATTTGGTTGAGGTTGATGAATCCATTGGAAACTTGGGGAAACTTGTTTTCTTGAATCTAAAAGACTGCAAAAGTCTTATGAAGCTTCCAAAAAGAATGAGCATGATGAGGTCTCTTGAGGAACTTATTCTTACCGGTTGCTCAAAGCTTGTGCTTCATGATAGTGCCATGGTTATTTATATTCACACTACATCAAGGGATATGAATAAACTTAGACTGTTGTCAACTATATCATGGACACCAATCAGGTTTTGGTGGATGTGGGCATGGCCAAGAAAGACTCTTCAATCAACCAGTTTCTCACTGGCAAGTTTACCACGTTGTTTGGGAAGCTTAAGTCTGTCTTACTGCAACGTGTCAGAGGTTCCCAATGATTTATGTACACTATCTTCCTTGAAATATTTGAATCTAATTGGTAACTCAATTTTGTGCCTACCACAAAACATGAAGAGTCTTATTATGCTCGAGACTCTTTTGTTAGATAAATCCATAAACCTTGAAATGCTTCCAGAGCTGCCCCCAAGGTTGAAGAGGTTGGAAACAAAATATTGTACATCATTGAAAAGATTAACAAATTTACCATTGTTCAGATCATTAGAATCACTGTTTTGGGGTTGCGAGCAATTAGTTGAAATTGAAAGCTTGTTGAATATAAAACCGTCGAGAAGCGCTGATATAGAAATGAGAAGATATATGGGCCCGTTCAATTTGAAATCCATAACAAGCACTGATGTTGAAATGATCAACTACTTGACCAGTACAACTAGGAAGGTTCCTGTCCAGGTCTTTCTCTCTGTCTCCTCTCTCATGTATAGTTGTTCTAATTATTATATCTATGAACTAGTTGGGTCTAACTGTTTGAATAATTAAATTTGAATTGTGCAATCTTGATGAAGCAGGGAGTCTATGAATGTGGCGTATATAGCATTTTCCTTCCTGGAAGCAAGATTCCAGATGGATTTGGCTTCACAACAATATATGGATCAGCGCTGTCGGCTATTGCATCTTCACATCCTAATCTCAAAATCCAAGCCTTGAATGTATGTGTTTTATATGCAATAGAACCGGGCTTGGCAATTGATGACTATCTTGTTAGTGCTCAGCATTTGATTAAAGTCAGTAATCAGACCAAGGGTCTTATGTGGACCTATTCCCCAGTCACAGTAGGTTTTCCAACTGAGAAGGAAGATATGTTATGGCTAAGCCATTTTCAAATTGGGAACAATGAATTGGAGTATGGGGACCAAATACGTGTTTCGGTGGAGATGCATGATTTTTGGATAAAGGAGTTCGGAATCCAGCTTGTGTACGAGCAGGAAAGACCTCCTTCTAGCCAGAATAATGTTGTTGCTGGAGATGTGTCAATGTCAGCATCAGAGTACCAAATGTGGACAGGAAAATACTTTAATCATAGGCACCGTACTCATCAAACTCAATTCCGAAAGAGACAGGAGAATCCAGCACATATTGAATTTTCGTTTGAGCCAAAGCATCAGCTTCATACTTATTCAAGGCCCAAAGACCATTGAAAATATTTTGAAACTTAGAGCATGTCCAGCAGATTCCCCATCTACTTCTACTCACCTATTTTGGAGAAAATGAAGAGAAACCTCCCTCCTTAGTTCTTTTTCCAACATCATTCGTTCATGGTTGGAAGGAAAGATCAGCATCAATTATCTTGGTGAGTGTCGTCTTTTTGTTCTTTCTTGTTATATCTTTCTGAATATAAACTCATGGCTTTGTTGGATTTGTTGCTCTTTGTTTATTGCTTTGATTTGTTAATTGAATGAATATATTAAACAAAAGGAGGGGAAAGGCCTACGAACTCGTGTAGTTGATGCATGTAGTACTCAGTACTACTCTTTCAGACAATAATCCTAACTTTAAATCCCACTTAACGTCATATAATTTGGTGTCTGTAGTATGTTTGGTGGTCTAGATCACTCATTTGAGATATACATGTGAACCAAAAAGCTGTTTAACTTGAAAAAAGGGGAAATTTAGCATGCCCCTGAACTTTTAAAATGTTGGGAGCAGCTCAGGTTTGAGTCCCAGCAAAGGCATGCTTTTCTTAATTTTTGCACGACTTACAGCTGGTGCGAGGGACCTCTGCGCGTTAACTATGTGTCAGTCTGGGTCCATTTATTCCCTAGCCATCAGTGTGCTGTCTAACTTTGTCTTTTATATTCACAAAAAAGCATTGGCAGTCTTGACAGTGTCGAAACTGTTTACCGTGTTCAAACCGTGTGCAGGGCGTGTCAGCATGTCAGAGTGTCTGACACTTTGAGGTTTGGGAGTGTCCGTGCAACCTAGGCTTCAAGAACGAGATGGACAAGGTGGAGAAGTGGAGAAGAGCGCTTACTGATGTTGCAAATCTGGGAGGGATGGTTCTAGAAGATCGGTAATTTCGTAAAACATTTTCTTTAATTTGAAATTATTATCTATATATGACCTTTTATAACTTGTTTATTAGGCACATTATTGTTAGCTTATAGGGTATGAGTGGCAGTTTATCCAAGATATTGTTCAAGAGGTTGGAAGTAAGCTGGATCGCGTGGCAGTAAATGTTGCTCCCTATGATGTTGGAATCGATATTTGTGTGCACGGAATCAACAGATGGTTAGAAGATGATTCGGGTGATGCTGGTGCAGCGGTTATCTATGGGATGGGTGGAATTGGCAAAACCACCATTGCCAAAGCTGCTAATAAGACGAACCTTGCAAAATTTTAAGGAAACGGCAGCTTTCTTGCAGATATTGGCTTGCAAATAAATCTTCTTTCCGATATCCAAAGGGTGAAAGTAAAGAAAATAAGCAAACATGAAGGACTAATCAAGATTATGCATGCTGTAGGTTGCAATAGAGTTCTTATAGTTCTTGATGATGTGAACCATTTGGACCAATTCAATGCAAATCTTGGAATGTATTGAATTTTGAATGTCTATATTTTGTATTATGTAAAACTAAGTACAATGAAAGCTCATATAAATGAGCGGAAGAAAGGAAAAGAAAACAGAAGCCGAAAGAAAGGGAGGACAATCAGAAAACATGGAGCAGAAAACATGGAAAAGTAAAGGTGAGGAAAACATGGAAAAGTAAGAAAACATGGAGCAGAAAACATGGAAAAGTAAAGGTGAGGAAAACATGGAAAAGTAAAGGTCACCATACACCCATGCTTTCTTCCAATACTCCCCCTCAAGCTGGATCAAAGGGATTAATTGATCCAAGCTTGAACAAAAGACGTTGAAAATCAGCAGAGGGTAATCCTTTTGTGAAAATATCCGCAAGTTGATCATGACTGCGCGTGTAGTGAGTGTCGATCACCTTGGACTGAACTTGATTTCTGACGTAGTGACAATCAACTTCAATATGTTTAGTTCGCTCATGGAATACAGGATTCGATGCAATGTGCATCGCGGCCTGATTATCACAGTGTAGGGACATGGGTTGTTGATGAGGAAAACCTAAAGTCAACAGAAGGATTTTGAGCCAAATAAGTTCACAAGCAGTGGACGCCATAGCACGATACTCTGCCTCTGCACTAGAGCGTGCAACAACACTTTGTTTCTTGCTTTTCCAGGTAACTAGGTTGCCTCCCACAAACGTACAAAACCCAGTGGTAGACTTGTGATCGAGAGAATTGCCTGCCCAGTCAGCATCGGTATAGCCTGAGATCTGAGTGTGACTATTGTTGCGCATAAGAATTCCTCTACCAATGGAACCCTTAAGATAACGTAGCACACGATGAACAATCTTCAAATGATCCATGCTTGGAGAGTGCATAAACTGGCTAACAATGCTGACAGCATATGATATATCAGGACGTGTGATAGTCAGATAAATGAGTTTGCCAACCATTCTTTGATAGTAACTTAAATTGGGAACTGGATCACCGTGAGTTTTTAGCTTCAAGTTGCTATCCAAGGGGGTACGAGCAGGCTTGCAATCTGTCATTTTTGCTTCGTGAAGAAGATCCATGACATACTTGCGTTGGTTGAGGAAGAAACCCTTGTGAGAGTGTGCCATCTCGATGCCCAGAAAGTATTTGAGAGTGCCAAGATCCTTGATAGCAAACTTGTTGTTGAGATACTGTTTAAGAGCATTAATCTCTGACATATTATCACCTGTCACAATTAGATCATCAACATAAATGAGCACAACTAGTTTACCCACTAAGCTGGAACGAACAAATAGGGAAGAATCCGCAATACTTCGACAAAAACCAACCCTTTCCAGAACATGACTGAGTTTGGCATACCATGCACGTGGACTTTGCTTGAGACCATAAATGGATTTATGGAGTTTGCACACCATTTCTGGATTGTTTGATTGAGGATGACCTGGGGGTAGCTTCATGTAAACCTCTTCTTCAAGTTCACCATGCAGGAAAGCATTTTTAACATCCATTTGAAAGAGAGGCCATGCATTGTTAATTGCAACCGACAACAATACTCTAACAGTGTTCATTTTTGCCACCGGAGCAAATGTCTCTTTATAATCGACGCCATAGGTTTGTGTAAAACCTCGAGCAACCAAGCGAGCCTTATTCCTTTCGATTGTGCCATCTGAATGAAACTTAGTTTTGTACACCCAACGACTCCCCACTGCCTTCTTTCCTTTTGGAAGTTTCACTATAGTCCATGTGTTATTTTCATGGAGGGCTTGAAGCTCCTCTGCCATAGCATTTCTCCACTCACTGTGAAGATTGGCTTCTTGAAAACTTTGAGGTTCTCGAGCTTCATTAATGGCACTTAGGAATGTAGCAAAAGAAGATGAGACTTTGCTATAATCAATAACATCAGTCACGGCATACCTGGCAGTGTAGGTCACATAATCATGCAACTTGGATGGAAGTTTCCTCTCTCGTGCAGGATTGCGACGAACTATAGGAGATTGAACTACAGGTATTTGAACAACATCATGGTTGGAAGGATCACTGGAGGGTGCAGTGTGAATCTCTGATGAGGAAGGGTTTTCATCTTCAAGATGTTCCACCGAGTGAAGGTTAACATCATCCGGCACATGATCACTAGGAGTGCATGTTGCATCTTCTCCGTTTGGATATGGAAAAGGAAATAAGTCCATCAAATGCTCCCCCTGTCTAGAGTAATCCAGTGATTGTGAGAAGTAAGGAACATGTTCTTCAAATTTAACATCCCTTGAAACAACCATTTTTCTAGTTGTTGAATTATAGCACTTGTAACCTTTTTGGGTAGATGAATAACCTAGAAAGACACATTTGGCAGCCCTTGGGTCTAGCTTGTCACGATTTTGAGTTTGAATGTGAACAAAGCATGTACACCCAAAGACTCTCAAATGGGAAAAGTTGATCTTTCTATTTTTCAAGACCTCATAAGGTGATTTAAAATTCAACACTTTACTAGGCAATCTATTGATGAGATATGCCGCAGTAAGGACTCCTTGAGACCAAAACTTTTTAGGCACATTCATGTGAAACATAAGAGCTCTAGTCTTCTTAAGTAGATCTCTATTCTTCCTCTCGGCCACCCCATTTTGTTGAGGTGTTCCAACACAGCTTGTTTGGTGTAATATACCATGCGTGCTCAAGTAGTGTGACATGTTATGAGACATATATTCTGTGCCGTTATCTGATCGTAAAATATGAATTTTTGAAGCAAATTGGGTGGCCACAAGTCTATGAAAATCTTGAAAAACTTCCATCACTTCACTTTTAAATTTCAAAAGATACAACCAAGTAATCCTTGTGAAATCATCCACAAAAGTTACAAAATATTTGTATCCATCAAAAGACTCTATAGTTGGTCCCCAAACATCAGAATGCACAATTTCAAAAGGGTTACTAGCCCTAGACAAAGAGGAAGTAAATGGTAATCTAGTAAACTTAGAAAAATGACAAACATCACAAGGACTTGTAACTTTGCACATATTTGGGAACAAGGTGGATAGAACTTTTTCAGAAGGATGTGCTAGGCGTTGGTGCCAAAGTTGTTGTTCTTGAGCTAAGCTTGAAGTGACTTGAAAAACCTTGGGAACTTGAATATGCTTGGAAAGATAGTAGAGACCATTTAAGAAAAATCCTTCACCAATCATCTTCTTGGTGACTACATCCTGAAAGATCACATTTTTGGGAGAGAAAATGGCAAGACAATTTAATGAGTTTGTGATCTTGCTAACAGATAAAAGTTGAAAAGGGAATGAGGGAACATAAAGAGCCTCAGACTCGACATCACTTGAGATCAAATGTATTTTTCCTTTTCCCACAACCATAGCATTTTTTCCATTGGCAACTGACACTTGGGATGGAATAGAAAAATTTTCAAATTTATGCAAGTTTGTAGATTTGTTAGTCATATGATCAGTGGCTCCAGAATCTATAATCCAATAATCATGCACATTACCAATGTTGAGAACAGTTGAGAAGGAGTGTAAGATACCTAGGATGTCCCTTTGTACCACGCCTTCATTTCCAGCCAGGAAGCCAGCAAACTGTCCTAGTAGTGCAGTTTGATTGTTGTCACACTGATTTAGTGGTCCTTCACTATCTCCAAGACCTTGTTTCTTGTGAAGAAACATAGCAAACTCGTTGATCAGTGCAGCTGGATTAGTGGTGAACTTCAGTGCTCTATTAGAAGAAGTTGTGGCAACATGATTTGCCTTGTAAGAAGGGTTGTACGAGCCTTTCGAGACACCTTTGTTATCCCTAGGAAACTTTGGTTTTAACTCTGGATGAAGAATCCAGCATCGATCTCTTGAGTGCCTACCAGCATCACAATGGCTACATTTTAAGCCAGTTTTCTTTCCTTTGTAGCCTCTCTCCTCACCAAGTTTTTGGTTAGAAAAGTAAGCCCTAGCTTCTGGTATATTTGCCTTCATGTCCATGGTCATGACTTTCCTTCGAACCTCTTCTCTTTGAATTGTGGCACACACACTTGAAAAAGAAGGCAGGTCGGGATTCATGAGGATATGACTTCGAAGATCTTCGAATTCAGGACTCAGACTTGCTAGGAGTTGGAATATTTTGTCTTCCTCGGCTCTTTTAGTTAGCACAGCAGCGTCGATGGTGTGTGGTCGATACACATTCAGCTCGTTCCATATAGTGGTCAGCTTTCCAAGATGTTGCACAAATGGCTTTCCTTCCTGTTGCAAACCAGCAATGTCCTTCTTTAACTGAAACACTCTAGCCGCATTGTTCTGATTTCCATACATTTCCTTGAGATTTTTCCAAAGAGTCATGGAGGATTCAGCATAGCTAAAAATTTCTGCAATCTTACGATCCATGGAATTGAGTAGCCACGACATGACCAACTGGTCTTTGCATAGCCAAGCATCATACTCCGGTGAGGTAGTCTCAGGCATTGGAATAGCACCATTAACATAACTAAGCTTTGATCGTCCTCCCAGAGCAAGAGAAACTGCTCTCTCCCATGAAAGATAGTTAAACTCATTTAGCAAGACAGAACTAAGACGTTGATTTGGGTTGATATCAATATCTGAGTGTGGTGATGGTGGAGTAGCATGAAAGCCGTCTCCTTCCAAATTTACTAAGATTTCTTCAGCCATGATTGAAGGACAAGAAGCTCACAAATCCCTCAAGAGAACATCACAGAGACAGGCCGGTTAGGGTCACTGCTCTGATACCATATTGAATTTTGAATGTCTATATTTTGTATTATGTAAAACTAAGTACAATGAAAGCTCATATAAATGAGCGGAAGAAAGGAAAAGAAAACAGAAGCCGAAAGAAAGGGAGGACAAGCAGAAAACATGGAGCAGAAAACATGGAAAAGTAAAGGTGAGGAAAACATGGAAAAGTAAGGAAACATGGAGCAGAAAACATGGAAAAGTAAAGGTGAGGAAAACATGGAAAAGTAAAGGTCACCATACACCCATGCTTTCTTCCAATAGAATGCGATAGTGTTTTCACCCGGG